TGGCCTCAGCCCCAGCAGCAGAAGAGGCGGGCTTTGCACTTTGCCGAGCCTCCCTTTCCCTCTGCTCAGCTTCCAACTCCAGTCTTTCAGCTTCCTCTTCGGCTTCCTCAGCCTTAAGAATTTCAGCTTCAGCTGGAGTTGCATACTTCATGTGAGGGTCTTCGGGATTCTGGACCCACTCAGCACATTTAGACCAGTCCAGTTTCGGCTCAGCATGAAGGCAGACTCTTCGGCATACTCGGAATCCGTTTCTGAAACCCATCTCATATTCCTCTTGGGTATAAACACGGACCTTGAGTGAAGCCTCAGCATCAGCCAGCTTCTTCTGGGTCTCCTCCAAGTCTTCCTTGGATTTCTTCAGCTCATCAGCGACTTTGGAGGAGGAACCCTTCAGCTCATTCAGCTCTTGCTGAATTTGGAAAGCCTTTGTCTGAGCTTGGGCCACTTCAACTTTCTGGATCAGCAGTCGATCCTCAGCCTCTTGGAATTTAGCTCTTTGGGCTTCAGCAGCAGCAGCAGCCTCTGAGAGTTGGACGTCTTTGGCCAGGAGCAACTCTTCAGCAGCCATTCGGCTGGCTTCAAGAGCCTCTAGACGCTGCTGCACTTCAGCTTGTGCAGCAGTTCCTTCTTGAATTCGGCTCTCAATAGCAGCCTTGAATTTGGAGACGTCCACTCCCATATGCTCCTGGAGGAATTTTTACCGTACTCCTCAACCTCCTGCTGCTTCTCTTCAGCTGCTGCTTGCTTCAGCTTAGCAAGCTTAACTTCCTCTTCAGCCACCTTCCTTTCGTGCACAGCAGCGTCTACCCTATCTTGTAGGGTATCAATCAGCTCTACAGTGAGAGTCTGATTGTGCACGAACTGAAAACAGGAAGACAAAAAAAAAAAAAAAAAATAAGTAATAAGAAAAAAAAAAAAATAGAGCTGAATTTCGGAGGAAATGAAGGAAAATTACCTGCATCATCAGCAGTTGGTTAGACCTGGCTGGGTCAGGAACTGATCTACTGGATTCGCCCATCCCAGCAGTGGCCTTCAGCGACCAGATCCTTGCCCTGTCTACTTCGGACATGCCAGCAAAATTGCCGAAGTAGGCTGCAGCTCCTTCTCGGTTTTGACCCCATATGAGGTCCCAGATGTGATCTGGGATTGGAATTCGGGGGGCCGAGAAACCCATTTCTCCAGAATGCAGAGTCTGGAAAGAAGGGAAGGACGACGATGGAGCTTGATTAGCTTTGGTTGTCTCAGCATCGTCCTTCTCAGAGGAGTCAAGTACTATGACCTCCTCTTCTTCAGGGGTGAGGACGAAAGCCTCAACCTCTCTTGCGATATCTGCCGTGAAGCCTTCAGCACTTGACATCACGGCATCTTTATTTTCGTGCTCAGCAGCACTCTCCTTGATTTCTTCTTGGACCCCTCCCTTAGGTTCGGGAGTTCTCTGATCCACCTCCATCTCAGGAGGTGGCGGAGGGGTCTTTTGAGGAGATTGGGGTGTTGGCTGGGGAACCCTCGGCGATCCATTGCCTTCCTCAGGTTCCCTTATTGCGACGCCGATGGTCATCGGCCTCTGCTGAAAATCATGAGGGCCGATGATGGCCATCCTTCGGCGCCTTTTCAGAAGGGGCTGCTCGTCCATATCTGAGTCTGAAGACTCTTGTATTTGATCTTCGGGACGAACAGGAGCTTTGCCTTCTCTGTGTCTGTTACTCTCTTCAGACTGCAACAGACAGGGGGGAAGAAGAATGTGAGTAAAAAAAAAAAAAAAAAAAAAAAGAAGAAAGAAGAAAAGAAAAAAGTTGTCTGAAAGCTCACCGAGGTTTTCAGCAAAGCCTCGTCTTCTTCAGCTGCTCTAGCTACAGCTTCGGCTTCAGCAGCTCTGGAGGACCCTTCTCCTCCTTCACAAGCCTCAAGTACCCGTGCAACCTCTTCGGCTGTGCGGGCAGCTTCAGCTTCTTCGTTTAGCAGCTGAAACCAAGGGTCTCTCTTCTTCCACCAAGGCTTCTGCCTCTGATACAGAGCAACAGCCTCAATTTGGAAGTGGGAAGAGTCCAGATGAACTTCCCTATGCCTCGGCTCAGTGATAGACGGGGCCCGTTCAGTTACAACTCGCTCTCGGTTAACACCAAGACGAGCGTAGTTAATACCAACGTTGGTCTCGTCCCGCTCTGAAAAAAGGAAAGGGAAAAAGTTTAGCTCAGATATGTTGGCACAGCATAAAAAAGCAAAGCGAGAGAAGAAAAAGAGGTAGTTAAAAAGCCTCGGCCCCAGCCGAAGAAGCTTACCATCCTTAAACTTTTGGCTGAGGCCAACAGCTGCTAGCATGTTCTCTTGGAAAACGTAATGCGTATCGGGGAGCCAAGTCTCCGGGATATGCTGCATTCGACCACTTCCCCCCGGGTTCGGCAGTTTGCCGAATATATGTTGCTGATCCAGGTTCGGATCCGCCCCGTTATCTGCGGGGGGACCTAGACTTCCCATTTCGGGATCAGGCTCAGCTAAGTACCGGGGAGCGCTGAAGACACAAGGGTGGCCCGGATCTATGGGTGCCCTAACCCAAATCCATTGACCTCTCCAGTCCTTGTCTGAAGAGTCATTTGGCCACATGGTCAAGTATTGGGGCCGGGACTCAATCCGATACCACCCAGAACCATGGCTTCCGTGCCCACTCTGAATATTTGGCACTAGCCGATGGAGCTTTCTGAAGCAGTGCAGGTTCGGCACGTATTTGAAGAACTTGCAGACCCATAAGTATGTCATCACCCTTCGGATGCTGGTGGGGGTTAGCTGACATAGGGAAATGTTGTAATGGATCAGCAAGTCTCGGACGAAAACGTCCAAAGGGAACCTCAGCCCATACTGAAGCTATCTCGTGTACACCCCCACATACCCCGGGGGTGGACGATGGATTCTATCGGATGCTGAGGGCATTCGGCACCAATATCCATCAGCTTCAAAAATGCCGTAATGCAACTCAATTTGCTCGGCAAATCGATATTGATCGGCGTTCTCTACCCACCATGAGTAGGGGCGGTTCTTTATCATGGCCGAAGCGACTTCGGCATTCTCCCACTCTGAAAACCCAGGGAGGATATCCCAAAGGACAGCGGGAATTTCATCGTCCCGTCCAGAAGCACTCGGCTCATCCGTTCTTTGAGGAGGAGCCGAGGAAAGGGGAGTCGCCCTAATCCCATCAGCAGGGTCAGACTCCGGCCTTCGACCATTCCAGGTCCCAATCCTATTCCTAGGATCGGGAATCGGCCTTGCTCTTCTTGGAGCACGGGCTCTACCTCTAACTCCTCTTGCCATGGACTATTTCGAAGAGAAAAGTCGAAAGAAAAGGGGAAGGAGTTCGAATTCGAAGAAAAATAAACTGAAATCAAAGGAATTTACCTTAATCTGAAGCGAAAGTTGCCGATTTACGAGTTCGTAGTGGCAAGTCTCAGTTTCTAAGCTCAATGCTCGGGGGAATTTGCGAAGTTTTGATACGGATTCTCGGTTTCTCTCTCGAAGAATTCTGGGTTTGTGTTGGTGAATAAGTGAGGAGAATGACGCGCCTCTGTTTATATCTCCAGGTACGGGATACGAAGAGTCTGTGCTTTAATTTCTCTTAAGTACCCACTAAGTAACCATTAAACACATGTCTTGTGATTAAACCGCCCATTATCCGTCCAACTTCCGCAAATCATTAACCGTTGTTATCTCATTAATTACGGTTTAAATTCAAATTTTTGGATCAATTAAATCATTTACTTCCCTCCTTTTCTGAGTCAAATCAAACCCGACCCGTCATTCTTCCAAATCGGGTCTGGGGGGCAAGTTGTTTGGGTCCAATTTAGTCAAAATTGGGCCGGAGCACTAAATGATCCAATTAAAAGCCCAAGGTCAAGGTTCAACTCTCCAATTGCTCAAAAGTCAAAAGTCAGCCCACAAAGTAAGCCAATTGGGCTAAAGCCCAACCTCTCCAAGTATGATGAGGTATAAAAGCCCTCATATTAACACATTCAAGAGGAGAGTCATATTACGAGATCAGATACACTATCTCATACACCGATTATTCCAACTCATATGCTCATTCTTGCATTGAGAAATACTCCACAAAAGCCTCAAGCTACAAACTCTCTTGCATAGTGTCTTCCTTTTTACACATTGTACTGACTTTAGCATCGGAGGGGCCTTCCTCGGAAACACCCCCGAGGCTAGTTTACGTGTGTTCACTGTGCAGGAAACCTTCGGCCCAACACAGCTTGGATCGAATCCAGTCTTCTCCATTTCAGTGGACCTTCGGCAAGGTCCCATTGTTTTCAACCGAAACAAAGGGTAACAGGTATTTTTGCAATGAAGTTTTTGACTCTCCTAAATTATAGTATATGTTACTCAAACTATTCATTCCAAGCTAGTTTGGACTCCTGAGGTCAAAGAAAAAGTAAAAAAAATAAGAGCATATGTCGCATACTAGGACCATATAAATTCTAAATCAAATCCAATAAACGCTCATAACCATTTGAGAAACAATCCATCCAAAATCCAATAATCTAGACACTAATACGAGATGATCTTGACATAATACTCAAAATGCGATTCAATGAATGAACTACTTAGCTCTCAACATTTTCAGATTAAGTAGATAATCCATAATCAAATCAACTAATAACCAAAAGTTAGAGTCAAGATTGACACTATTAAAAAGAACATGACTTTATACTAAAAAGGAGCATAATCCTCAAGGATAAATAAATGAAGACAAACCCTAAAGAAAATGGTGACAAATATATTACTTGATCAATCTATTATTTATCGAACCCCACACAAAAATAATTTAATTTAGTAACTAGAAAATGGTGTGTGGATGTTGACCCATAAAGAAACAAAAATCCAGCAAAATTTAAAGTGAATAAAACAAAGAAAATGAAGAAAACCCAACAATCAACAAACACTTTTAGCAACTACAATGTATATTATTAAACAAAAGAAAGAGAAACCCTAGAAAGAAGAGAAAGAGAGACCATAAGAGTCGAGTGAAGTAGCGAGAATGTTAGTAGCAGAAGCAAATGAAAGTGCCAAGGATAATGCAAATGAGAAATCTCCTTCGCCCAGAAGAAGTATCTGATGTAAAGATAAATACTCGTTATTCATCCATTTCTCTCTTTCTTCATCTCCTTCTCCCATCACTAATTAATCACACTACAACTTCAATTATGTTTATGGCTCTCTTTACTGCTAACTCAATTCAATTTTCGAGCTCATTGTATTGTTTAGTTTTTCTCTCTCTTAATTTAACCCTTTTTTTAGGCTCACTTCTTGTATTTCGTACTGCATAAGCTTAACCCTATTTTCAATTTTGATTAAGTTTATTATGTTTAATTATCAATAAGTATAAATTATAACAATGAAATATTGACCATTTATAAAACATGGAAGAGTAAAACAAGAATCTATTCATTAATTTATATCACTAACATAGCAGTAATTGTTAATTTTATTTTAAAAAATTACCAAAGAACACTTTATACAATATCTAACATTTTTTTTTTTATAAATTGAACTTGGATAACCTTGCCTTGTCAAAACATAGTTGTACTTTTTTTTTTAAAAAAAATTTCTTCATTTTTTTTTTGAATATTTTCTTCAAATAATTGATCCTATGGTAAATAGAATATGGTCTAACTTCTTCAATAACTATGAAACATTATAGCTCTTCGTTAAGAATATATCTTGAGCTAATGTACAAATAAACTCTATCAATAACATAATATTAAAACAGACATTAGGAATGACACATATCACTTCCTATTTTTTTTTCTCCAAGACTTCCCCTCCCTTTTTAGCAAAAATATTTTATTTTTGGAATATTTAACTTGTATGATACAATTATAATAATATTATTCCTAAGCTTATATACGTAGTACTATTTTTATAAGCTATTGATTGTTGGTGTAGTGGTGATTGAGATTGCACTTGGGAGGACCCGTGTTCGATCCCCGTAACAACAATTGGGAGGGGACTGGAACCTAACCACCCAAAACTAATCCCCGAATCCAGATTAACCCAAATGGTGAACTGGGTGGAACTAACACCCAAAAAAAAAATTATCATTATAATAATTGTATTCCTTTTTATTTTTTATTTTATTACTTAAAATAGTTACGCAAGATTTTGAGACCTTTTAATTAAGGAAGAATAAGCTATAACTTAGAAGGTTGAAATATGGTGGAGAGTATAAAATAGCGGAGCCAAAAATACAATGATTGGGTTCATAGGAAAAAGAAAAAAACTTTATACTCTGTTGATTTGAAATCTTATGAACATTTATAATTGAATTAGTTTTTTGTTAAATAATATTTTTGTAATATTTAATAACTTATAACTTTTTTTTCTTTCCTTTAAAAAATCTATTAACTATCACTCCCTCCGTTTCTAAATACTTGCTCCTTTTCTCCTTGACACTTATGCCGATGCTAATATTTGATTAATAATAGCTTTAATTACCAATAAGTATAAATTCTAACAATTGAAAATCTATTAACTATTACTAAAACAGGATATTAATGACATCATCATCTCCCCAAACTGTATACGTGTCGCTTTCTCATAAAAAAAGTTCATGCCTAATGCACTTATGATGTCATATATATATTTGGTTATTTTTTATTTTTAATCATTTTCATTTCAATCTTTTGACTGTGTTAATTAATAAATAAATAAATTATTATTATTTTTTGGTAACTATGAATTTTTTTTATTATTATTTTAATCTTTTTAAGGTTTTAATGTTATTTTGTGTATGTGTGTTTTTTTACTAAGGATTGTGCAAGCAACCTAGCTATGAAGTCATGTACTAATAATATGGATGTTTGTTATACAAAATTGAACTAATGTTATCGGTAAATGTTTTGTATTTCCAAGGTGCTTCTATTTATTTAAATTACAAGTATTTTTAATTTGAATTTCAAACTCTTAGATGACATATAAATTCGTATGCATATGGTTTGATTAAATCAAATTGGTCGGCTTTTATTTTTATATTTTGTTACTTATGTAATTTATGATAATAGATACGTATGTCTGGGGAGACATAAATAAGTTATTTCATTCCAATAATTTTTTTAATCCATGAATCGCACGAACCTGATCTAGTTGAGAATTAAATTCAATTCCAAATGTTTGAATAATAGGAGTAATAATAACGGAGAAGGCACAATACTTTGTTTATATTTACCTCAAAAAATAAAAACTTCTTTTATTTTACCTTACTCATTGAACTCCGTATACAAAAGTCAAACATAAAAGATTTTTACCATATGCTTCTTTAGGCATCCATTAGTTTTACACTTTGACCATTTTTTCTCACATAAATACAAAAAATAAAAGCGCAATAATTATGGAAGGAGTATTTTGTATAATACACTACACTAAAATTTTCAGTTATTTCTTGAAATTGCAATGATTTGAATTTCGCATCATTAGAGAATTTTTTTGAAATAAAATGTTCAGCTTTGTGCACTAAAAATGTCGACTGTATGTAATGTGACGGGTCACAAATTCCATAACGTAATATCAAACCAATTCTTAAGATACTACTTGACTCAATAATTTACAATCAACAATCCTATAAGCATAGTTGCATAATCTCGCTCATTTATCCAAGTTGAACCTTTAAACACACCTGCATAAACATAGAGCATACGGAGGATAGTCAATGTTCAAACAAATTAGAAATCGAATCAATAAGACCACACCAAACTAAACAAGATCTTCAGAAAAAAATACCAACATGCCAATGTACGCAATATACCAAAGCACATTCACCTACAATAATCTGATCAAGTATAAGTGATCCTGGTACAAGAAGCACCATGGTACCAGAATATTAGCAAGGGGCGCAGGGTGTTACATGATGCACACGCGTTACACACAAGTATTATGAGTGCAATAGTCTTGCGCGTTCTAGGTCAGCTGTATAATAGTCAGTCCAACAACAAAAGCAAGCTTTTCTTATTTGCTTAATTTCAATCTGGTATATTCACACATATCCGTATAATATTTGATCCAGCAAACAAATACTGTAATGCTTTGCATAAAGCTTTTCAAACAGATAACAAGCAAATTACAGGAATGATGACTCCAAACACTTTCTGGCTTTCTGTGACAAAATTAATATTCTAATGAAGCAGAACATCTAAGAACATACAATTATTAATATTGTTATATAGAATATCCTGAAGACAATCTAAACCGTCCGTTGTGTAGATCATGACATCAGAAATTCATCACAAACACATTACTAACACCTTTATAGTGAGCCCCTCCACAGTGGATCAAGAGTGGGTCAAATTTCTTAAGGACTAATTAAACGAATTCAAAAAACAACTGATTGCATATGAGGCTAACTTTATCTGCCTACCAGTTCCCTACTTTTGTCCATCTAAAAAGCAGCACTCTTGAGCCACTTACTTCTCCCCTCTTCTCCCCTCTTCTTAATATCAAATAACATTATAAATACTACAAAATAAAAAAAGTAGTTTACTTTGTTTCACTTTTGCCTGATCCACTAATACTTTAGCTCTTCAACATAAACCATTCCAGATCTCCTTCATTTCTATACTCCATCTGAGAGATTTCTGCTCACAAAACAGCTAACACTAAAGCAAATTAATGGTTCCAAGAAAAAAACCCTTCTAGTTATTTTTTTATTTTTTATTTTTTATCTAGGAGCGTTGATATTGCCCTGGTATAAACAGCAGTTTCACCTCATGTCTAACCACACTGAAACAATGCAAACTCTTCCACCTCCTCCCCAAAGACAACATAACACACCAACTCCAAGCCATTTTTCAATATCAAAGCAAGCTGTAAACCAAAAAACTCCCAGAATGAAAAGCTCACCAGCGCCTTTTGTTAGGCTGTTAAGTAATGACCCTTTACTCCTTCAGCCTCGTCGGACTCATCCATTAGTTTGGTGCAGTGCAATCATATGCCTTGTGTTCTGTCTCCTTGTAATCTTCCTTGGGATCACAACTCTGATTATCTACCTAGTCATCAGGCCAAAATATCCATCGTTTGATGTTCCCAACGCAAATCTCAACACAATCTACTTCGACTCGCCTGAAAATTTCAATGGAGACTTCACTGTGCTAGCAAATTTCACCAACCCAAATAGGAAAATCAATGTTAAATTTGATTACCTTGATATAAAGCTTTACTTTGTTGACAGGCTGATAGCAACTCGAGCGCTTGAGCCGTTTAGTCAAAGACCAGGAGAAGCAAGGTTGGAGATGATTCACTTGATATCGAGCTTGGTTTATCTGCCACCAAATCCTGCAGTTGAGCTCCAAAGACAAGTGCAGAGCAACAGAGTCACATATAATATCAAGGGGACTTTCAGGGTCAGAGCAAAAGTGGGTATTGCTCGCTTCACATACTGGTTGCATTCGAAGTGCCAATTAGAAATGACCAGTCCACCTCTCGGAGTTCTCGTAGCTAAAAATTGCAGCACTAAAAAAAGATAAATATGAAGAACATCAAGTATTCTACTTATTCTTCGTCCTTTCCATTTTTTGTTTAACTTAATTATTTTTATAGGCGATATTACCTCTTAGTTGTGCTCAAGTTGTCTTGGTGTACAGAAGACAGATTTAAAAAATCCAGCTACATACATATAATGATATAAATCACTAAAGAGTTGTATAATTTTTGTAACGGGATATTTCATATAGTCACTTCACCAACGAGAATCAACAGAATCAGCTTAGCATCTTCCTCTTGGTTTCAATTATTGCAGCAATTACTAAAAAAGATTATCACTAGGAGTTTATACATACAATTACTACAGGTCATCTTCCCATATATTACACAGCAAAGCACATCTAATAAAGGTAGCTACTTTTCTCACTTTCTCCCCCAATCAAAAAAGAAAATCTACAAAGTTGTCAATTTCCAAACCATGAAGAGAAGAGACACAAATAAGTGGAGATGACATGGCTTGCCATGTAGTCAGATAGCATAACAGAGAGAAATCTGCAATTTACATTATCTCAGCAGTGGAAAGCAGACACTTTCAAAGATACAATGGATGTGAGATCCAGTATTTAGAAGAGGGGAGAAAAAAAGACCTAAGAGGTATGAGTTTGGAGTCCTACTATTTCTATTTTTTGAAAGGGTTCCTCCAATTTCTATCATCACATAACTAGCTGACTGTCAGAAATCAAGATTGGTTGAGGTAGTAACTCCTTCAACCTATCATCCTTGTGACAAGGGATTGCTTCTTACTTGAGGTGGGGTGTTGTGTGGTTCGTGAACTGAAATAGAGAGGCAAGACCCAGGCCTAGGCCAGGTCCCGTGTACCAGTAATACAAAATTAGCTGATAACAGTCAAGTTAGACCTTAAGTTAAATAAAAGAATTTCAAAATTCCATGTTGAAGTGCATCAGCAGCAATTCTTTGAGCCTAATTAGCTAGGATGCTTTAACAAGCATTTAGTGGTTTTTTTTGTTGTATTCACAGCCCAAAAGAAAATTGTAATTACCAAGGGATAGACCAATCCAATGAATTGCAGACAGCCAGGTGGTTGAATACAAGAGGTAGGGATTTAGTAAACAGATCCACGCTTCTTAGGAGATGTAAGCAAATTTCTCCATACAGTGAGAAACAGAGCTTCTCATGTAGTTTTATATTTTATGTTTTGGTAGCCAAACAACTTTCCACTTCACTGTTTCCTAGGATGTATTACCTTATATGTCAACAAAATGACCACTTAAGCTGCCAAATAAAATATCATTATAGACAAACAATAAACAAACCTCTTAAACTCTCCGTCTTTGCAAAATGTTATCACCATGCACAAATTTCTCTACTCAACATTTCACAAAAAACCTTTTAGCCTTATGGCCTAATGTGAGCATTAATCCCTGCCATCATGGTTGTCAATCTTGCAGAAAAGAAAAAACTTCATAAACATTACAAACTAGTGATTTTCAGGCTCATCTTCTGATGTACATCTTTCACATATTTGAACTCAACTCGCTTCCATCATAAATGAGGAATCAAGAGAGCAAATATGCCAATTAACAATTCTATTTAAAGCATTTGGTCCCATTCAATATGGTTGTAGGATTATTCACATCAGCTTCAAAGGCTTATTTATTTAATACTGGCTATTTTTTTCAGCTACCTTAGCTTTCCAAAGCTAAAAGTCATCCTGCTTAACAACATATAAACTATAGAACTCTTTTTTTTAACTAACTCATTCACTCTAGAGAAGTTATACCACCGCTATTTTTTAAAAGTACATCTAGAGTTACTACAATCAACCGGGTCTGGTATATCAACATCAAAAAAGCGGCAACTAGACATGAAGAGTAGCATCTAAATAAACCTTGTTTGCTGCCAGCAAGTATATACGAATTTGGGGATATCCAAGCTCCATAAGAAACTAATTCCAATAAAACATCAAAATCCGCTTCTAGGAAGAGAAAAACAAGTTTTGAACTTTTTTTTTTAAGCATTTCTTACATCATTAGCTTATAGCACACTTTATTATAAATAGTTATATACTTATATGTGTCAAACAGAATTTATGGAAATGAGACCCATGTTTCACCACACAAGTCCAAGTTTCATAAATAAACTGTTAGGGATGTTATCTTTGTTTATTAAAAATTTAAAACACACGCCATAGTTCAGCAACAAACCTTATATGTTCAGGATCATTGAAGATATATTTCACAAGAGAGAAAATGACACATTCTATTGTCACATCATCTCAAAGGAAAGGGTGCTTCTCTGTGCTATAACGACCCCCTAAACAAAACGGGAGAATTTCAAAAGCACTTGGTTAAGGAGATCTATGACGAGAACATAAAAGGAAAAAGTATTTGATAGAGAATTCCATTGAATGAGAACACACATGAGAAAAGATCCCAGGGATCATATGTTTCAAATCATGTTCAAGTCACTAGCATAGCAATCAAGAAATGACATCAAATAATTAAGCAAGCTAATGATTTCATCATAGTACTCAAATCTATTAAAATTTGGAGCAGCAGAATCTGGAAACAGTGCAACTGAAGAAGTTACATTCCAAACTACAAAAACTGCATTGCCAATAGAAATCCAAGCATCAAGTCTGTACCAAACAATAACAGCAACTGAAAGAAAAATCATTCCAACAAGATTCATGTAAGCCATGCTAGGCAACAGCATGCCCAAATCGAGTATGCAGTACAATTAATGTCAATAATTAGTCAACATACTAGCATAAGCTACGCATTACACAAGGTTTAAGACCCAATAGAAGCAATCAAGCTGGGAGTGCTCGAGGAAACCAAGGCATAAACAAATATCAAATCTCAAGTATCCAACAAAATTTCACTCATTTATTCATTTCATTATAAATTCTCATATGGTAAGTAATAGCGATGAATAAAATTGTAAATACAATGTTTAGCTATCCGGGAAAAGGGTTTAAAACTAAGTTCAGGATTGACAAGTGAAAATGAAAAATAATAATCATCTTTGTGCAGACTAATACTCCCTCTTCAGTCTACCTTCCCTCATCCACTTCAGTTGGTGTCTTAGCAATGATTGACAAAGCATGTAAACCTCCTTCCAATTCATCCTGCAACAAACCATAAATCATCCTATGCCTCTTAACCAAGCTCTTTCCTTCAAACTCATTCGAAACTATCTTCAAATTGAAATGGGTTTCCCCATCACTCCCCTTTACTCCAGCATGTCCAGCATGCTGATAAGATATATCCTCAACATCCAACTCAACAGGCTTCAATTCTCTCTCCAATTTCTCCCTAATTCTCTCTCCTCTGCTCCCCAATCCAACGCCACTCAAACCCGAATTTGAATTGGACTCATTTGCAACAATTTCTCTCCTACCCACATCAAGATCAGAACTCTCCCCCCCAGAAGACCCATTAAATTCCAGTTTAGGTTCCAAATTATCAGCACCCAATTGAGAATCCAACCCAGAAACCGCATCTCCTTGTTCAATTTTCTCATCCTCCAACCCTAAAAGAAGAGCCTTCCGCTGCATCAACTTCAACATATTCAAAAACCCATTATTCCTAGAAGGTGTTAAGTTCTGATGAAGGCCCAAAAGGGTGACAAAATCAGGAGAAACCCTTAAAATTTCAGGAACAGGACGACCAGATAAACCCAAAACAAGCAAAGCAGCAAGGCCTTTAGTCATAACAGAATCAGAATCAGCTTCAAAATAAACAAGTTTAGAACCAGAATCAGAATCAGAGTCTAAGAAAGCTCGAACCCAGACCTGAGAAACGCAGCCCTCAACCTTGTTTTCCTTGGTTTTGAACTTCTCTTGAAGAGGAGGAAGATTGTTGGCATAGAACATGAGCTGCTGGTACTTGGCTCGTGGGTCTTGAGCTGCTTGAAAAAGCTTGACGATTTCCTGGAGTTTTGGGGGCAGTTCTTCAACAGGTTGAACAGAAGAAGAAGAAGAAGATGAAGGGGAGAAGGAGAGAGATTGGGTTTTAGTAGGAATTCGTTGGAAAGAGATGGATTTGAAGGAGGAAGGAAGGGATGAAGAAGATAAAGGGATTGAAATTAAGGGTTTAGAAGAAGAGAAGAAGAGATTGAATTGGGGAAGTTTAGTGGAGATTGATTGAATTGATGAAGAAATCGACATTTGATCTTCTACCCTGCAAGATGAGCAAACTTTTCTCAAGGAATCGCATTTACACTCAATGCAATTTTCATCCTTTTTCTCTTTTATTAACACAGTCAAATCCAAAAACATGACTTGAGGTTATTCTAATTAAAACCCAAAACACAAAATTCAGCTAACACTGACACCTAAAAATGATCAATTACTAAAAAAACAATAAAATAATTAAAAAAAAACACAAAAATATACAGTACCAGAAAAATATGGTTCAAGGATGCTATGAAAATTTGAATGACTGACGACTTAACCTCAACTAGCTGCCCTGGTTAAACCAGATCTTGCGCGAATTTACTTCTGAGAGAAGAGAGAAGTATTCGACTTTGTTGATTTGTATGGGGTTGCTTGGAGTATCAGAAGAATGAGACAGATGAAAGATGATGCTTGCCAAGTTTATCAAACTCAGAAACTTGTAGTTCGTATTTAGTTATTTACCCCAACCATGGCATGTCACGCGACCGTACTTTTTTACGGAGTACAATAATTAAATTTACGGAGTATCTACCGCTCACTCTATGTCTCTGTCCATATTTGTTTTTCTTTATTTTGGCCTTTTAGAGGTAAAATAAAAAAAAAAAGTCTGGTGAAATCTTGTTATACGAGTATTTGTGATTATATATTTTTTAAAATGTCAAATTATATCGAGTATAATTTTTGTGCGTATATGTTGGAGTTGTTTACGTTTTAAGACGTATCTTAAAAACGGTAAAAGTCAAGACAAATAATTAGAGATAGAGGGAGTATTGGATTTTTTTAAAAAAAAAAATACAGAGTATTTACTTATTGATGATAAGCATTGACAAGCTTAAAAAAGAAGTCTGTAAACCGTAGATAGTTTCACGTAGAAATTGCAAATAAGTGCGGGTAAATAGTGTTACATACAAGTTGCAAATTAGGCTCCTTGGAAGTAAAAAGTTAATAAAATTTGATGAATGAATAATACAGTAGAGTTTAGGAAATGAAAAAATAAATACCAATATGCTTACAAGATCAAGGAAGAAAAATGATGTATACAAGGTGAAACCCACCTCTGCTTCTCACACAAATTCAACGGCAGCTACACAAATTCGTACTAGGCATATTAATATGTAAATTACATTACTTCAAACCCAACATTGAGTTGTGCATTTACCACAAAGAGATAAGTAAATTAGTGGGTTGGTAAGGAGAAGAATCTTACATGGTCGGAACCTCTCATATGTCCTCTCGACCCGAATTAGCAGGTTAGACACTTTGGAAGTGGGGGAAGGGGAAGGGTAAGGGAATCCCCATCCCAAAGTTCCCTCTAGTGGGGTTTGATCCCACAACCTTTTGGTTGTGAGGTACAAACTTTCCCACTAGACCAAGCTTTGCTTGGTACAAGAGATGAGTAAACACAAGCAACATTTATATTGTAAATTTCCAACACGATACATACAATCGAGCAACATATATATTGTTAATTTCCAACACAGATACATACATCTATGTAATCGGATTAGCAAAATTGAAACTTTATATATAAGTATACAAAATAAGAAGACATGAGTTTTTTTATGAATCAAGTACAATCCTAGTATTTGTAACCCTTTTCAAACAAGCTCTCACTAGCAGCACCAGCAGTGGAACTTCCACTGGCAACATACTTGCCTAGGGTGGCCTCAGAGTTGGCTTTGCACCTTGCCAGGAAGACCTCTTGTGCTTTAATCACATTTTCTTTCTTTCCACCCCATATCTTAAGTGTGCTTTTCTGCAGTGCTCGCCCAAACGAAAAGGATAATGTCCATGGCTTCAGTACTTCCAGCTTGTTCATTGCATTCAGGTTCACTGTTGCCTCTTCCTCACTCTGTCCCCCTGACAAAAACACAATTCCTGGGACTGCTGGTGGGACTGTCCGCCGGAGTGCTGTGACAGTGTACTCTGCAATCACTTCTGCAGCAACCTGACCATATGACATTGAAACAAAACCATCAGTCTTGTTAGGTTACTGTTGATCCTATGGTTAGTTTAATAGCTGGTTATTATTATAGGAAACAAGATAATTTAATGTTAATGCAGATTGAATGAAATTTTTTTACCAAGTATGTATTGAGCAACTAGGAAAAACTTGTATAAAGTAACCAAAACAAAGCTGGAGAGCTAAAGAAGATGTTGGTTCACCTTGGGGCTATCTGAACCTGGGGTAACCATGTTGGGCTTGAGAAGGGTGCCTTCAAGGAGTACATGGTGATCATTGAGAGCCTTATAGACCGCAGCAAGCACAGTCTCAGTTGCAGCAGCGCACTTCTTTATGTCATGGCTCCCATCTGTCAGTATCTCAGGCTCAACAATAGGGACAAGCCCATTCTCCTGGCAAATGATAGCATAGCGGGCCAAACCCTGGGCATTCTGCTGAATTGCAAGCTCAGAGGGCTCTGTAGACCCAATCTTGAGCACAGCTCGCCACTTGGCAAACCTTGCACCAGCCTTATAGTACTCCTGGCAACGGGCGCCAAGGGAGTCAAAGCCTTGAGTTGTTGTCTCTCCATTGGTTCCTGCCAACTCAATGACCCCCTTGTCAACCTTGATCCCAGGAACTACGCCATTATCCTGGAGAACCTCAACGAAGGGCTTCCCTTCAGAGGTCTTCTGATACAGCGTCTCCTCAAAGAGGATGACCCCAGAGAGGAAAGTAAGAGCTCCAGGAGAAGTGAATAAGAGCTCCCGGAGAGTTTGGCGGTTGGACTCAATGTTCTCGACATTGATGCTAGCAAACCTTTTCCCAATAGTCCCTGTGCTTTCATCTGCTGCTAGGATCCCCTTCCCAGGAGTGGCAATGTACTTGGCAGTCTTGATCAGCTCATCTAGAAAACAAAAAGGGGGAAAAGTTGTTCAAAGTTTTACATTATGTTGTTGAGTAAACATTATCATATTGGATGTACTGGAGAGAAGCAAGTACCTGCATACTTTCCTACGAATGCAGACATGGTTCAAAAGTTGAAGGAAGGAGTGAATAAAAACTGCTGCGGGAAATAAAATACAATATAACAGATTTACCCAAGTATGGCTATATATAGAATCAGCTTAATAATATGAGGGAATATACCAATGGGATCACTCTCCTCGCGCCATGTCTTAACACATGCTCGACGTTTTATCCAATGCAAGTCTATCATACATGGATAAAGGAATGAGTGATCATTTCCTCAGCCAAGTGGACCTGCTTTGTGCTCTTCTTATGTGTGGAACGGCTTCTACTTCTTATCCTCATTGTTATTTTGTGAGCAACTTCCACAAAGGAGGGAATTAAGCACAAAGCCAATGTTTGTATTCTTCTGATAAAACAAAATTTTCAGTACCTATTGATATCCATCACAAGTTCACAACCCACATTCTCAAAAATATCAAGACCCTCCATAGCCTTGATGGAAAGCAACAGAAGCTCCCTTTCGAGAGCACCCAAGCATCGTTGCAATACCACACTGATGAGGCTAATAATCTGACCTTGCGTCAGGATTAAAAAGTAAAGGGAAGGATTGGGGGGGGGGGGGGGCGAAGATAACACCTCAAAACCAATAAGCACTGAGAAAATCACAGGACTTGGAGCAAAAAATTGGACAAAAAGCAAAGAGAATTTGATTCAGATGTTTAATAACCATTCGTCATCAGTGACAAGCACCTCAAGAGGTGTCGAAATGAGTTTCTAATAAAATTAAAGTTGGCTATGAGCCTATGACAAAATTTACAACACGATATATGCCATTGTTAAGATGCGCACTTTGCGCTCATATACCATCATTGCTATCTTCTAGGTCCTCATTGCTCCCTTCAGCTACATATCTGGCCACAACATGGAGCTGAATGCATTGCTTGTAACAAAATTGAGGTGTATAAGTAAAAAAATAAAGGTTTTGATGTATAATGGAGGCAGTACATTAACAAGGTTGAACCTCCCACGCCAAACTGATCAGCAGGCTACCAGGCACTCTCGCTTATTATTTGCAATATTCAATTCAGCTTGCAATTTTTGAGATCCACAATGAATTATGCTTCCTTCCCCTCATTCATTCATCATCTGTGCCAAAATACCTGTCTCCAAACTCGCCCATGCCCGGAATGACACGGAAATCTTTATTTAAGCCCGTTTCAATTTCAGAGGTCACAATCTTTATTCTTGGGAAGCTTTTACAGACCATATGCACTCCTTGGGGTGCCTGGTTAAGAAAATAGATATTCGTTTAGATCAAAGAATAGCAAAGCAGCCTTGCTAAAGAAGAACTCTGTATGCTGATTGGGGCAACAAGAAGCAAAAATAACATTACTCACAGATATGAGATTGAGAAAAATGATGTTTCCTTCAGGCACACCCTTCTTTATGAGTAAAGATATGGCTTGAACAGCAGAATTACCTATGGTAACACTCAAAAATTCAGTACCCTGTAAAAGACATCCAATAAAATTTGGCATGATAAAAAGGAAACATTTCAAAAACAATGAAATAATGACTAGAACTTTCCCTGTCCACCTCATATTATTTCTCCACCCCGCTTCAAGAGGGTAAAATATGAATCTAACTGTAGGTTTTGTACCCATTAATGACACATTGACACCAACTCTTAATCCAGAACAAAAACAGTGGGGACTCTGGGACTTTTTTTAATCAATCTTTCAAACAAGAAAAAAATGTTCCTCCAAGGACTAACCCCAAATACAAGGGAAACGATGGTCTAAACAGGTCAATGATCAATCACTATTGACTTCTCTAAAAAAAAGATTCACTAGGACTTTTAAGAAGTAGCCTCATGAAGGTATGGCAAGGACAACCCATGGATACTATAATATTTAAAAAGTAACAGATAATTAACATAATTTCAAAAAAAAAAAAAAAAAAGTTAAAAAAAAATTCAGACCTCAACTTTAGCATAGAGCAAGAGGGGAAGCCTCCTAAACTATACTACGTATACTCTTTGCAGTAAGTCATGAAGAGAAGAAAACCTGTTCCTAGGATAGGATCCAAGAGCAATACATGTCGATCCGCAATATCTTGTGGTAGTTTTTCATATATCAGCTGCTAAAAATGTGACTGAGATTAGTAGAAAAATAGAGTACAACAAATAAATTACAATAATCAAGCAGTTCTAACACAAATTGATGAAACAAAAGAATCCAAGCTAGAGAATCATACTTGCTGCCCATTGTCACCTTCTCTATGTATAAGAATTTTTCCAATTTTGATTCCTTTGCAACATGCCCTTAAAGCATTCTCCATACTTTCACCACTGACAAATTTCAAAAAATTCCATGAGATACAAACATACTTCTGAAGTAGACAGATGATAAGCAAGTTTCTTTATGGAAAAAAGGAAGAATTTCGACAAGAAAAATATGCTATAACCTTAAAGTAATAGAGACCAACATTTCTACTACGAAAGATCATTCACCAAACTTCACAAAACAGATATTTTAATTTAACCTATAAATTTACTACAAACCTTGTATTTAAGAATCAACGATTCAAAGAAACTTAAATGTTACTATCATTATTTGCTGACAAGCAAGCAAGATATACAATCATCCTATTTAGCTGATCTTCCACCTTATGACAAACTGAAAAATAAATCCAATGAAAGTCAGAAATGACGGAATATATCCATAGGTTTTGACGAACCTTCTAATAATGGACACCCCACATAATCTCTTGCAGAAATCTACACCAGTATATACAGAGCCTGCAAGTAAAAACAACGAACAGAATGAACTAAACACCGGCAACTCACAACCTCAGTCTGATGTCTCAGAATTAGAAACTATGGATAAAGAAAGTAGATTTTAAGTGCAAAAATTATCACGGTTCTAAAGCCAAATTAAAGGAATATACTCCTGTTCAAAATACATGGGAAAATCTAGAGAATAACATGTTGCACATCCACCTAGACAGTTAGAACTTTATTGAACTCCCTGTTCACCTGCTTTCAGCTTAGACTTTCTTAGGTGTTTGTGCACTGAATCTATACACTGCATCAGATTTTAGAACGGAACAACTTACATGGATCTTTTTTTAAAACATATGTACCATATCAACCCAACCAAGGACATCACCTATATTAAGCAGGATAATTATTAAGACTTGATATAATGAGGCAATGAGCTTCTAACATATGGTCTTTAGCTTCCTCATCATTCCCAACAATTTTCAAAGCAATAACACAAAAAAGAAAAGTAATTAACCAGACTTCTGGATGAAATTCACCGTGGTCATACATTTCAAATACAGGGTATCCAGAGATGAATACAGTAACTTATTAAAACTGGCATTGAATGTGACTCAGTGGTGAAAACCATGCCAAATCACTGGCAAGGAACTTACCAGTAGGAGTGATAACCTGCTTTTCTGTGAATGGAAGATGTCCTAGCCCATGCTCAACAACCTAAACAAAATGTAGATTATAAGAGCACAACAAAGAAAATTCATTGTATATAAATAATAAGAGGGAAAGGAAATTTCCAACGTAAATCAGGAAACAACATTGTCCGTGTGTCCAAGCAACAAACCAGATAAATGTTCAACCAATTGTAAGAAAAAAAAAAAAGACAACTGAGGAACCATGGCGTGCTGCCATGCTCAAAAGACAATATCAAGAGCCTTTATTCGTCAGCCTTAACATTTATAATTATCATTTCCATATTATACTCTTATACAAATTTCTTTTCCATCCTTTGCTCATTCATTCTATCAAAATGCTATAACAGAATATGTCACCATCATCTAATAAGCAGAAGACAGTAATTCAGAAAGCAAGTCAGTATAGTCATATGAACTTTGAAAATATGTCAGTGGTTGTTTGGTTGACATATAAGCATATGGTAAGTTAACTTTATTAGGATGTAAATGTACGTGCATTTGCTTGGTTGGCAATAACCTAGGAAATTCTACTTACCCACAAAATAGAGGAATTTCCAATTGTGAAGAAGAATTTTCTATATCGACGAAACAAACCTTCACATCTCATACATATACACAAACCATTCAAAAAATCTCCTTGAAACAAATATGACAGTCAAAGTTTAGGTAAGAAACAGTACTTACCAAGCGAATCAGCCGATCAGCATAAAAAACAAAATCATGTTTGGTTGTTTGTGCATCACGAATAAGAGTATGCATGCCACGTATCTAAAAAAGGAGAATAAAAGTGCATTAATTTTCCCTAATATAAAAAAATGTATACAAATTATTACTCATTATTATAAATTAATGATAGCTATTACCTGGAAGGTTGTCTGGATAACATACAAGTTAGGATAGATTTTGCAGAGATCGTGCTGACCAAGTTTTGTTCGAATATGTTGGACAATAAGGTCAACAGCAACATGGTTGTCACCTCCACGGGGAATTATAATATCAGCATACTTCTTTGTTGGAAGTATGAAATCATCAAAAGCAGGCTTCACAAATTTTGAGTACTGCAGCATTGTTCAGAAGAAAGTTCGTCAATAACCAATTTATCACCATGAAACTATGCTAGTAATATGTCATCAAATTTTGAGTACTGCAGCATTATTCAGAAAGATTAGTCTAATTATCACCATGATACTCTGCTAGTAATAATGTCATGAACACCCCCTCCCCTCTCCCCTTATTTTGGTGTTGCCACTGCTTTTTGGCTCTCGGAGAGCTAAGAAGCATGTTTCATAGATTTTGGTTAAATAAAAGCACCAGCCCACGCAAAGTTCTTCTCTAATTCCAAAAAGTACAATATTAATGATGCTAGTCCTAATATTCCAACAACTATGAAGGAAGGGTGAATTCAAGGGCATACAAGATAACAGATGCCTATATAGATATTAGAATATGTTGCAGGGTCTTAGTTATTTAGTTTATCTGAGTAAGTTTATTAGGATGTATTAAGAAGTCTTCTAGTAGTTTACTTGCAAGTCATTTCCTTTTTTGCCTCTTTTGAGAGCTTTGCTAGTTAGTTATAGAATGTGAGATTGATGAACTACTACAACGCTGAGTTGCTGACATTTACAGAGATCATGAATGAAAAAGATACTCCTTCCTCCCTAAAAATCTCACCTCATCCTCCAATGAAGACTTGGAGTTACTCAACATAATAGAGTCTGAAACTCAGAAATTAGACCTTGTACATTCACAGAAATTAATAGATGATGCTCACATGAATACACGGCCAATAACTAACCTGATCCAGTACCGTTGCAATATCTCTAGCCTTCTCAGCAGTATCACGCCTAATTCTTCTTGCCAATCGTACATCAGCATCTGCACTGGAAACCAGCATTATGAGAAGAACAGATGGGAAAACAGGAAAAATAGGAAGAGTACTACAGATTTAATCTATCAGGAAAAGGAAATTGCGCTTTAATTTAAACCTACATACAGGAAAAATTCCATGCATTGACCCTAAAAATTAAACTTCAAAGACAAACAGAAAAA